CTTGTGCAGGGAACAATAAAGAGAACAGAAGGAGGGAAATGTGTCTGACCTCCACAAGGACTGCATCCCTGGAGCCTGCTGTCCTTCCAGACCAGCTGAAAACTAGAGGAGCAAATGCAGATGAACACAGAGCCTGCTCCTAAGGAATTCAAGGAGGCTCATAGGAGCCTCGGGGGCTGATGGCTCATTTGGAAAGAGCTGTGGCTGCTAAAGAAGGTCTGAGGTTAGACCAGCATTCAGGGACAACATCTCCCAGGAAGTGACACCTAATGAAAAGAGACACTTCTTTGAGTTGGGTATGAGTGATCAAAATGGAAATTAAGAGCAGGTGTGTAATAGACCCACAGATGAAAAGACAATGTGTAGGAAAAACTACACTAAAGAAGGAAAAAGATCTGTATCCTAAAACCAAAACACTGTAGAGAGAAATTACAGAACACTCAAGGAGATGGCTCCGTTGGTAAAGTGCTTGCCGCACAAACATGAGGACATGAGTTCAAATCCCAGGACCCATGTAAAAAGTTGGCTTGTTGGCAGATACTTGAACAGGCAGAGACATTAGGATTTCTGGTGCTCAATATACTGCTAAATTTGACTAATGGTTGACCTGAAAGCCAAGGACAGACTTGTCTCAAAAGCAAGGGGAACACCTCCTCAGGAGAATGTTAGAGTGGTCCTGTCATATCCACATGTGTGTGTGCACATATGCTAATATGCACATACATACACATACTGCCCCAAACTGGATTTTTAAAAAAAGTAGGGAAATAATAAAAATGTAAGATATTTCTCAGTTGCAAAATGGAAATATTCATATAGTAAACTCCTTACAACACAAAACAGCGTGGATGACACACTGACATGTTTCTTCCCCTACAGGCCAGTAGAGTAAAGCCTAAACCCCAGCCAGGTGAGTGTCTGTCATCCCGAGGGGCCGCTGAGGGGCTGCTGGGAAGTTTCTTATGAGAGGCATGCAAGGGAACCAGAGAGATGATTCAGTCAGATTAACGTGCACACAGGAGGACTGAGTTTGATTGATCTGACACACCCTCATTGTAAGCCAGGGCTGTTGCAGGGATTTGTATTTCCACCCCTGGACAAGCAAAGACAGGCAGAATCAAGGGGCTGGCTGTGCAGCTAGTTCAGTCTAAGTGGTGACTTCTAGGCCTGTGAGAGGCCATGTCTTTAAAAACAGGGTGGATTGCTCAGTAATCACTAATGGGTATAATGATTTTCTAAATGTATTTTAAATTATGTATTTAAAAACTACATATTAACGGGCAAGAAATCGTGTGTGCCAGTGAGCTAGCTCAGTGGGAATCGTGTGTGCCAGTGAGCTAGCTCAGTGGGAATGGAGCCTGCTGCCTACCCCAATGACCTGGATGTGATTACCAGGGACCCAAATGGTAAATGGAGAAAACTGACTCTGGACAATTGTCCTCAGCCACAGGCTCCTGGTGAGACATTGTCTTTTGGTCCCCAGCTAACAGACCTAGAGGTACCAGGATCTCTCACCATGGAGGTGCATTTACAGCAGGGTAGTGATTGATGATCGCACTCCCTGCATACCACCCCCTTGCCTGCCTCCTGGATGGGAATCAGCTTATGGATGCAGGATTGTACTGTGAGACATCACCATCGGATAGATCTAAGATCACCCTCACTTCTGCAATGGAACCCAGGACATCCTGCCTGTCTCTGGTCCCGAGAGCCCAACTATGCTGTTCCCAATCTATTCATGGAGTTAATAACTCTTTTTAATAAATGTGGGGAAAGAAAGTCATGCAATGTTGTCGGGGGGTGCAGTCCGGAGTAAGAGTGAGGTTGAGACATGTCCAAACCCTGAAATATCTCATCCTGAGATGTGCAGGAGTTAGGACGGTTCCCTCCTTGCTCTGGCTTTGCATGCTCTGATGCAAGTACCCTCAACAACCTTCGCCTCCACTACCATAGATGTACTCACATTACATGTGGCCCAATTACAGCTCTCCCAGCTTCTCTATACAACAACATACCCAGCCAGCACCGGGATTACCTCTTCAAGCAAACCAGTCTTTACCCGCACGTTAGCACCTGTCAGTGATGTTCTCTCACCCAAAAAGCATATACCCACTCTTCAAGGTTTATATAGCCCTTGTTACCCGCCCCCCACCCAATAAAAGGGAGATGTTTTCCTGAAAACCTCTCAGAGAAGGCCGTTTCTCCCTGGGACTCACTCACCTTCCATCCCAGCGGGTGCACAGAGGTGCCTGGATATCCTGATTGCAGAAGAAGAACTGAGCTTGCAAACAGTTGCTTTACTCCCAGCCGTCTCTCAGAGATCTCTTGATCCTCCTCCCACCGTAAGAGACTTCTAAGACGATGGCAGACTCACCACAGATACATGTCAGAGGGAGGGAGACAAGGACTGTGGTCTACATTGAGAACCACTGCTTGGAAACTGGGGTTCTTCTCTCTCTTACTCCCTGGACACTGCTACCTCATCCACAGTCTAGACTCCTCCATCTCGCCTAGGAGAAGACTTCCTTCCAGTCTGTCTCAACATTTGAAAGTCGGCGTGTCAGCTTCCACCAAAGAGCCTGCAGGCAGAAGAAAATCCATAGACTGCATGTCAGATATTTACATATGATTCATAACAGTAGCAAACTCACAGCTATGAAATAACTGTATATTGTGGGTCGCCAGAACATGAGGAACTGTATTAAAGGGTCAGAGCATTAGGAAAGCTGAGAACCCTTGAATTGGAAGATACAGTAGTACCTCTTTAGATTGGGGCTAGCCTGGGCTACATGAGACTTTGTCTTGAAGCAAAGAGCAAAGCTTACCAAATCTCCAAACAGCACAGAGAGGTCGTCTATTAGTTCTTTTTTGGCTGGAGATGAAGAACTTGAAGATGATATCATTTTCTCTCCAGATTGAGATAAAGAAACTTTGTGACTATTAATAGTTTTGCTTCAGTCTGTTTGTTTTTGTTTTTCTGAGATGGGGCTGGGGGTATGCTCTATTATGAGGCTTTGGCAGTCCTGGAATTTCCTATATAGACCAGGCTGTACGCGAATTCCCAGAGATCCACCAGCCTCCTCCTCTCTCTTACTGGGATAGTCTGGCAATTCACAGTTTTTGTCTCTTTGGTTGTTTTTGTATTGTTTTCGTTTGTTTTAAGCTACAGGTATAGTGTTGAGGAGAGAAAGAAAGTTTTTGTTTCTGTGACCATAAACTCAATGACATATTTTTACATGTGTCTGACCTTGACTATCAGAAGCTGGAAGACCTCATACCAGAGGAGCACGTGACAGAATTGCTCCTATCCTACCACCAACTGAGCATTTAGGGACACAGTATGGAGTCTCTTCTAGGTGACTCCCCTGGGCAGAGGTGCAGGGAGGAGCTCATGCTGAGGCTGGGCAGCAGATGACAGAGATGAAGATGATGGTGTCATCCTAGGGGAGAAACACAAGGTCAGATGGCAGTAGGACAACTGTGCTATTGTAAAGCTGCAGCTGCAGCCTGAGCATCCTGTCTACACCACCAGCTGGCATCCTTCCACCATCCTCTCTAGCACCTCCTCCACTCTATGCAAGGCCCATTCTGGGCAAGTTACTTTGAGGTTCCATCTTGTATTTTGTATGTTCTCATAAGGGAAGAGAAATCAAGGAGTGTATGGATAGGTGGTGTAACAGGAACAGAACAAGTGGACAGTTTTCATCCATGAGATTGTCTGCTGTGTCAGGGCCCACAGAGCGATGTGTCTGGAATGGAAGGGTTCAGAGAGAAGTAGAAAGGGTTCACCCTGTTCTCTCCCACTGTTGTCATGGGACAAGCCAGTTGGGTATAAAATCAGAGAGTGCGCAAGTTACAGACACTGTCAGGATCCGGAAGCTGAAGAATCCCAGAGCCTGGTGTGGCAGAGTCTGGGTTTACTCAGGATGAAGATGGGCAGACATGTGGTGGCAGATGAGCTGTGAAAGGATCCTGGCATGATGTGTGTCTGAGGACCGTGCATGTGTGTGCAAGTAAGTGTGTGCTCATGTGTGTGCAGTCTAGAGGGCAACCCTTTATTACTACTCAGGAACCTTTGAACATGAGTATATACCTTGGGATTTTCATTCATTTGTAGGTTTTTATCATTTGGTTGGGATTTTGTTTGTTTGTTTACTTTAATATTTTGTTGTTGTTGATTTTTTTGAGACACCATCTCACTATGTAGCCCTTGCTGTCCTGGAATTGTATATAAAGACCAGGCTAGCATCAAACTCACAGGGATTCACATTCCTTTGCCTCTGTCTTCCAAATGCTAGCATTAAAGGCGTGTACCACCATGCCTAGGCCACCTTGGGATTTAATTGTTTAAATTACATTTCCTATTTATTCTGTGGGGGGCAGGACATACATGTGCCTGAGCAGCACCCAGGTGCCAACACTGCAGTCTGACACACCCAATGGTCACATGGTATGCAAAACCTCCTTATAAGTACACCAAAACCCTAGGCTGATCTTACACAGAAAGTGCCATTCTCCTGGAAAAGCATCATGACACAGTCACCGGTTTGGGGGAAGCAGGATGACACTCCAGGTGACTGATAACAGCATTCTGGGCAGAATCATCCCCAACAGGAGAGTCCCCATGGGTATTCAACTGAATCCAAGACTTGAAATTAGAACAGAGCCCATGACTTGTGGTTAAGGAGCCAGCAGGTGGCAGAGATAAAAGCAGGGCACAAGGGGCAGCTGGGATCCTGTAGCACCCACCATAGCCTGTTATGAAAAATGCTGGGATTCAGCACATGACATATGGCAGTCTCGTGAGGTCCAGCCTCTTCTTGAGCAGTATAGCAACTGAGACACTGTTTACCCAGAGAGACCAGAAAGGAAGGGAAAGGCAGATGAAATCTGGAGGTGAGGACCCATGACCAGGAGGGAACCCTCGCAGACCACACTGGGGCTGAAGATGTTCATCTGGTCGATGCTTTCTTGCCTGACATGCACAGAATCCAAGGTTCTAAGTCCAGCACGAGAAAAAGAAGCAGATATGGGAGAGGGCAGGCTGCATAGCCAGCGTCAGGTAAGCATGAACAAGGTGATCAATGCCAGGAAAGTTAAGAAAATGGGAAGTTACCTCTGTACACATCACTCAGGAAGAATGATGTCACTTCCTCTGGTGCAATCATGTTCTTGCCTTTCAGGAGGCTGATGGCATCATATCATGGGTAAGGGTAGGATGAACCTTTTTAGAACCAGCACTAAGGACACCACAACCTTGGACCCCATCTCTCATGTCTCCACTCAAGTCTCAGGCCACCTGTGTCCACACTGTCAGCCGTGTCCTAAGCCTTATGTCTTGAGGAACACATGACTGCTCTGAGCCATCTTTGCCCACATAGTCCAAAGAAGGTTCTGGTGTGACCATAACTAGACGGAGTCACTCAAGGGCTTTGTGGAAAGAGCCTCCTCAGAGGCTACACTGAGCAGGCCGACTGAAGTCTCTGTATGGAATGGAAGACTCCAAGAACTCAATGTGACTAAAGTCCAGTCAATTAGTCATGTGGCTGTCATGTGACATGTGCCAGACTTCTGTGATCCTTGTTATCCTCTTCTGAGTGAGTGTTATGATGGAAATAGGAGGTAGAAAGGCTCCTTTAGAAACTGGAGAAGCTTTAGAGTCACTGTCCAAGAGCCCAGGGAAATTGGAGACTGTGCCACAGGGACCAGGGCAAGGTGGAGGCGATCCTCCAGGCCTTGGTTCTGCCTGGGCACTGTGAAAGATCCCTGAAGGCAAGAATCTGCAAAGAGTACATGTGGGGAACAGTACAAGGTGGTCTCCATGCTAGGCCCAGGGACTGAATGTGTTTCCTCATCTCAGCCTTTTTCATTGTGTCTGAAGTGGTTTGGACACTGAGAACATCATTACATAAGATTTTTAGAGAGACGTTCAGACAGTCAGCATGGTAGGAGACATAATGAGAAAGAGATTGTGGAAGGAGAGAGAAGGAATAGAGGAAATATGGAAGAAAGGAGACAGAGAGATTACAAGCCACTTAGGAAATGGAACAGAGTAGACCAGGCAGAAGGTCAAGGTGGACGTCCAGAGAGCCCTGCATGTGGAGGACAAGGCCCTGTCTCCCGGTCAATAATGGGGGCGGGGTCCAAGAGGCCAACCTTCTTGTCAGTGACCACAAGAACATATGTACTGCAACATGATAAAAGAAAAAGCCAGATCATTTAAAGGAAGTAGCTGGCCCCAAGCAAGGAGGTGGAGATGCAGAGATCCTATCTCCACGTAGTCCTCCCCTTAAGAAGGTCTGAGGATCTGTCTTTCTTTACCCTGATTCTCGCTGTATACCTGAGCACCCCAGTGTTGCTGCACAAGGTGTTTTCTCCTGCCTGTAGGCTGTGGTGGTTTCATTTCCTGCAGGGACTCTGACCATGGATTGGATCCTGCTTCTTCTGCTGTCAGCAGCATGTCTGCACACTGGTGAGTGGTGGAGACCTCACTAGCAGGGACTTAACCACAGGAGGAGCCAGTGGGGCTTGGAAGAGTGGGCTGTCATGTAGACACGTGTCTGTTAGAGGGGACAACCAGGCCTCTCTGCCCCAAGAGACACCTCTTCCCTCAGAGAAAGCCCATACCAATCCTTCCCTAGCTTTCCTGTCCCTCTAGTCATAGGGACAGTCCTGCCCTGTGTCCCACCTCTGCCTGTGGATGAAGGCTCAGGGTATTCTGGGTTCTTTCCATCTTTCCCCTGTCGCTGTTCCCTGCAGTGGCTTCAGATTGTCCCCATCCTTCCTAGGAAACTCAGCAAGGTACAGCGGAGAAAGTGACTATGGGGTCGACCAACCTGCAAATGTCTCTGGAGTCCAGGGCGGCTCCGTGGAGATCCCCTTCTCCTTCTACTTCGCCAAGAAGTTGGCCACTAATTTGCGGATGATCATAGCCTGGAGATGGAATGGCTTCCATGGAGACTTCATCTACATCTCCTCCCTGCCTTTCATACATGAGCAGCACTTCAAGGACCGGCTCATCCTGAACTGGACAGAGGGTCAGACATCTGGAGTCCTTAGAATCTTAAAGTTGAAGGAGACTGACCAGGCCACATACTTCTGCCGAGTTTATCTACAAGCAGCAGAAGGCATGAAGGAGTGGCAGTCAGTTTCTGGGACCCAACTCACCGTGACCCGTGGTGAGCAACCATTGCTCAGGCTTTGACACCTGTGGCTTCTTTGACCCCTAGATGTCATCTCAGGCTTCACAACTCTGAGCTTAGTTTCCTATTCCTTTCCCTTGGCTCTGCCCACACCTGTGCCAACAGCATCTTTCCTTGTAGTTGTGACAAGTGTTTGCTGCCTCCTCTGCTGTGGTCTGTCATTCCATGGTGAGATGGAACCACACCTGACTTCAGCATGAGCCCTACCCCATAGCTCACACCCTTATTGCTCCAAATCTAACTACTGTCCTGCCCACTTTCACCCATGACCTCAAGGTGGATGAACTTCTCCAGCATGGAACTGACTCTCTTGGTCCTGTTGGTCCCTGTGTGCAGCATCTCCACACAGCTCCAACCTAAAATCAGAACATATCGTAGGGGCCATTGCATGTTCTGGTGTCCTCTGGTCTAACTGTAACTG